CGACAGGGGGCACGCGAAGACTGGTTGCAATTCCCCCGACCGCCAGGCCGCGGGATGATGTGTGCGTGGTCATGTAGTGGGTCTCGTGTGTGTTCTCGAGGAGTCGAGGTTTTGAGGGGGATATCCTTTGGCCGCGTTGGGTTAGAGAGGATTGGTGTGTGTGTGTGTGTGTGTGTGTGTGTGTGTGTGTGTGTGTGTGTGTGTGTGTGTGTGTGTGTGTGTGTGTGTGTGTGTGTGTGTGTGTGTGTGTGTGTGTGTGTGTGTGTGTGTGTGTGTGTGTGTGTGTGTGTGTGTGTGTGTGTGTGTGTGCGTGCGTGCGTGCGTGCGTGCGTGCGTGCGTGCGTGCGTGTCTCAACCTTCTGTACTCCTTTCTTAAGATTTTAGAATTCTTCTTTTCGTTAAACTCTTCTTTGAGAAGGTCTATGAGACGGGGCATGCAACGGTAAAATGCCGCCGGTCCCAACTCGTCCGTCCAGGTGCTTTGCGCCGCCTGTGCGGGCAATTGCGTCGCACACCCTGGAGCGCTGGCGGTAGTTTTGGCTACTCCTGCCGCTCCCACTGGCGGGGCTGCCCTCACTAGCTCTCCTTCACTGGCGCCTCATTAGCTCTCATCGATGCGATGCGGGCTGCCTTGCGCAAAACCTCATTTATGAGCGACCGTGAGCGGGCCGCGTTGAAGGCGGAGCTGCGGTCCGAACTGCACGACTCGCTCAAGCAGCAGATCGTGCAGGAGCTCAGCAGCCAGCCGAGCAGCAGCTCTTGTCAGCACGTGTGTGAGGAGACTCCTCCTGGCGATCCTCCTGCTGCAGAAGAGAAAGCTACTGCCGAGCTCGAGATCAACAGCCGGGAAATGCAAGGCAGCATGTGGGACGTCCTCCTTTTCGTCGGCGCTTCGTGCTTCTCTCGTGTGGATTCCGCCGTTCTGGCGCTGCTCTTCTTGATAAACGTGGCGGTACAGTCCCTGTTCATCTACGGCTTGCTCAATCCCGACCTAAAGCTCACCGAGCCCAAGATCAACCATCATACCATCGAGCTGCTGCGCACCTGGCGCGAGACGTCGGCACATGACTACAGATATTACAATGCAGCGACGAAGCAGACGCTTGTCTCTCGCGTGTGTGCAAAGGATGGCAGCCTGAACGAGGGTGCAAGCCAAGTGAGCGTCATCTCCGACCTCGACGGCTACCTCGGAGCGGATTTCGACGGCAGCGGCGTCTCAACGGGCTCGCTCATGTGCATGATCGCCGTCCTTATCTGGCTTCTCACCATTGCAAGGGAGATCAACACCACCCTTGCGCTCGTGCGCGGTGTATTCGGCATCCCACGCGGGAGCACAAAAATCACGACGCGGCCGCTTACGGTGCACACGCTGGGATTTGGCCGGCGTTGGGCGATGATTTTCGTCCAGAGCTGGCGCCTCGCAATTGCCGCCTTGATGCTCTACTATGGAAGCCTTTACATCATCTACACAAGCTCGGTGGAGAACTTGCTGCTGAATGCGGTCGCGCTCGAGATCGTCATCTCCGTAGACGAGATCGTGTTCGAGGCTCTCTCGCCGAGGCAAGTCAAG